AAAAAAAGTTTACCATATTCGTGAGAACGTGCTGAATGCACATCTGAAAACCGTTTTTTTTAATTCGGCTCCGTACGGGAGTTACATAATTTAAAAAAAAACATTAATTAACACATGATGATTTCCTTATATGGTTATGTATGACTCAGTATTATGCAATCATTGACATATGAGAAAGTATACGCATATACATTTTAATTATCATTTTTTCTGACTTAAATCCATCATGATAGAGTCTAGTCTATAAAAAGTAATTATTCGATGGCTTGTTTATCTGAGTTTAATCAATCGATTTTGAGAACAAAATATAAAATAAAATTTTAGATGGTTCAACTTTCCACGTTTATGAAGGTGGTTACACGTCTGCAGTCAGCCGCCGTTCTCCTAATTGAACTTACTTCAAGTGGAGCTCTAGTTTAATACTTGTTTTTATATTATAAATAGGAAGCTAATTTATAATATAAATAATTATTTAATTTATTATCTTTTAATAAAATTGTATTTTTATCGATATTTTGTAAAACACGATCTAAAATGAGTGTTCAAGTATTTAGGAATAGAAATTTTCACGTATTATCACTCTTTCTTCACAGATATGACTGACACATTCTCTTTTAACTTGGTTGAAGATGTGACCGAGGGATGTTTTTTTGACCTTATATCGCAGGGATGACCGACATAGCACCATATACATGACCTTTGAATTGTAAAATAAAATCAAACCATTGAAATCACATACTGTTTAACAAAGATAAATACATTAGTCAATTCTTTTATATGAAGAGATGTATATCTTAAATTTTAAAACAACTGTGAAAATGATAATCGAGTGAGTTTTATTAGATAGAAATTATTTCTTTTTCATATTTTGTATACGTTTATACCATAGGACGAGATGAGAACTGTTTTATTAGGATACAATTAAACTATCTTGTTAAAGGTAGAAACAACAGTGAGATTATGTTTCATATTTTAATCTCGCCAGGGATTGTACTAATAGCTTTCTCTATATTTGTCAATTTGTTTGTGTCAAGATAATATATTTCAAAATTGATAATAGAGGATAGATAATAGAAATTGATAAGATAGATATTTAAGTAATTAATATTAATAAGATTTATTTTATTTTTAGATAAAAAAAAAGAAATAAATCCTAATATGTATGATTCATCTGTATGTATATTTTAAATTTCTAAATAAATAAATAATTGATTTTATTTAGAAAAATATTTTATCAAAAAAAAATGAAATAAATAAATCATTTTGTCGAGAAATAATCTTTCATGGAAAAGAAATTTTATCTTATTGTACAACATCATCACTTCATTTAAATGAAAAAAATAATCAAACATTATCTTGTCTTTCAGTAAAAGATATTGTTTCAGTTTATTTTCCATGGTCATCAATTGAAAAATTTATTCAAATATGTGGAAAAAAACGAATAACAAGATTTAAACCAGATAAATCAACAGATTATGATTCATCACTTCGTCTAGTTAATATTCAAGAATTAGAAAATCATTGGAGTTTTATTATTAAAGAACTTCTACCAAATACACAAACAAATAATGATTATCAAAGTAATTATTTAGCTTCTCGTTTTTTCTTCTATATTATTTACAATATCTTCCTTGATCATATCATATTAGAATAAAATTTCAAAAATAACTATGAAAAAAATATTTTAAATGAGATTAAATTAATCCCTATATTATATATATATAAGACTATGAGACGGTTAGGTTATCTATCTACATAATATAGAATGTCCGTATTTTCTTACTAAGCGAAAAATCAAAGTTTTGCAGTCATATGTTAAAGGATAAAAAGGACAGTGGTGCAGTATGCGTGAACTCATGCGAGTAATTCACTATTGATTACGAAATACAAGACATTAAAAGCTATAGCTGATTTTGAATTTTTTTGCCATTGATAGAAAAAATGTTAAATGTAGTTACTTATATATCTTCAATAACAATAATCAATATCGAAGAGAATCCATCAACGTGCAGATTGATAAGGATCTGTCGACATTTCTATTTCTCAGTATTCTCTTTGAAAGAAATAGAAACACATATAGCAAATTGTTTTTTATCAAACCTAAAACGTTTGGGTTAAATCAGTTTGAATTAAATGTTGAACATTATTCAATTACTACTTGAATTTTTATATGATTCTATTCTCTGAAATTTAGCTTTTTTTTGTTGAAATATTTATTTATATTTAAGGTTAGACATCAAGTTGAGTTTATTGGATGAGAATATGAAGTATTGAAATATGTTGTTATTTCTTACTATATAGAAACAAATATTTGATATAAAGAAAAAAAAGTTCAGGGAAAATAATCGTAACTATGTTCTAACAGTTGTATTAAACAAGAAATTTATTTCTTAATAACAATAGAGTATCAAAGATAGAATATTATCAATTTTTTAAATTTTCTTAAGTGATTAAATAATAAAAACATGTGTTAATTATTTGTTTAAGGTAATCAATTGGAAAAAGATAAATTATTGGATGAAAGTTCATCAATTGATATTCCAAAACTAAGTAAATCTAATGAAATATTCGTATCAAATGTAAATGTTGAACAAGAAAAAGAAAGTATTGAATTGTCATTAAAAGAAAATGTTATTGATAAATATTTACCAAATAATAATGAAAATTTACATCTATTAAATATAACAGAAAATGGTAAAACAATAAATGATTGTTTAAATACAATTCAACAAGATATTTCATTAGAAAATCAACAAGATTCATCAATAATAAATGAAGATGAAGAAAAGAATTTGTCAAATAAAAAAAAAACTAAAAAGAAGACGTCGTCAAATTCGATTAACTTCATATAGTGCAAAACAAAAAAGAAAAAAATATTTAAAAAAACTTTCGATTGAACAATTTTGGATGAAAAAATATTCAATTGAACCATTTTCAATTCGGATTAATCGATGTCAATCATCTGAAGACTGAACTTTATATATTTTGTCTTTCACTTTTTTTTTTTTCTTTTTGAAACTAAAAACAAACAAACTCATCATACAAATTCTTTATTCAATCATTTTATATAAATAGACAACAAAATGATTTTCTCTAGACTTGACAAAATAAATTATTTATTTAAGTTTATTCTCAAATGATTTCTTTCTACATAAAATAATTCAAACTTTAATTTTTGCTTTGAATTAATCAAATGAATTTTTAATAAAAAAACCTAATTTATTGATCTGAATTTTGTAAAGAAAAAAAGATTTGTTCTAATGTCATTTGTTGTATAGAATATGTTTCAATACAAAATTCATCTTTAATTTGTTCAATTAATTGGAATAATTTTGCTGGTGAACTATTTTCAACTTGATAAATTATTGTTTTGTCTGTTTTATTATAAATTTTAATATTTAAATATTTTTTTAAATAAAAATAAAATGATTTGATTTGAAAATTAAATTTAAATTTAATAAAAATTGTATAAATATTTCCAAATTTATTTTTTAAATTTTCAATATATCCATAAGATTTAAACTGTCCATTAGATAATATTCCAATACGTCGACATAATAATTCACATTCTTCCATTGAATGTGATGTTAAAATTAATGTTATCTCATTATTTAATGCATATAAAAATATTTCACGCATTTTATGACAACTATATGGATCAACACCTTCAAATATTATTAGAAAATATTTTTACTTTGAAATTAATTATTTACCTGTTGTTGGTTCATCTAGAAAAGAAATTTTATCATTTGAGATCTTTACAAGTAAATAAATAAATACCTAAAAGAATAATTGTTGGTGAAGCAATAAAAGCTGCAGCAGTATGATATCTTCTAATAGTTCCTCCACTTAATTGATGAATATATTTCTTAAGATATAAATCAAGTAAAAATATATTTGATAATGAACAAATAATTTGTTGAATTTTAAAAGAAAATATTCCACGTAAACGTGCAAACAAATAAAAATGTTCTTCTAATGTTAATTTGGAAATAAAACAATTATATTGTGGACAATATCCAATATCTCGACTAACTCCATTGAAAATATTTTCATAGTTTTTACCATTTAAATATATTGAACCATTTGTAGGTTTTTCTTCACCAACAATTATTTTAAATAATGATGTTTTACCTTTTCAACAAATAAAAACAATTTATTTGAACAAGAAAAAAATGAAACAAACCAGCTCCATTAAAACCTAAAAGACCAAAACATTCTCCTTTTTCAACATGAAAAGTAAGATGATTAAGAATTAAATTTGATTGTGATGAATATTTTTTAATAAGATCATAACAAACAAATGGATTTAATTCAATATCAATATGATTTCTTTCTTCTAAAACATCTTCATCAATATCATCTTCATTGAAATCTTCTTCGTCGACATTTAAATGAATTTTCTTATTAAATTTATTCATATCAATTAAATAAAGAAAGAAAAAGAAAAATATTATTTGAAATAAATTTATTAACAAATAAATCAAATAATCATTTTCATTTGTTCGTCGAATTGAACCAAATTTTAATAAAATATTTTCATCATTTAAAATTATTTTACAAAGATCATTTGATGATTTATTTAATATTATTGAAATTAAACGTTTACTATTTAATGAAGGAAATATTATATTCATTAACCAATACAATATTTCTAATTCCCAACTTTGACTTTTTCTCATTATTAATATTACACATAATATTAAATCAAATATTTCAATTAATATTAACATCAAATAAATTAATAAACCTCCAATTAAATCATTTTTTATTATTTCTAAATCAAGACAAGATAAAGTACTATGAATTGTGAATATTAATATATGGTGTGTTATGTAAATAATAAAAAGGAATAAAAACTAACTTGTAATAAGATAAATAAATGGTAATGTTGATAAAGATATTATAAAAGTTAATAAAAAAAAATTTTTTTCAATAAAAATATTATTTTCATAAAGAATTTGTTTTAATGTTAAAGATAATGAATTAGTTTCATAATATTGATTAAATGAAAAAATGAAATAAATAATAAATGAATAAAATGAAGTTAATAGAAGATGAAAGAAATAATTTGATGTCCAATAAATCAATGGATTTAAACCAAAGATTTTTAATAATTTAATTAATTGGTTATTTTCATTATTTAATAATATAAAAATATAAATATAAATTAAATAATATGTTAATAAATAAAATAAACTTTTTTCTCCTGGATAAATTAAATAAAAACAACTAAATAATGAAAAATTTTTAATAAATTCAATAAAATTTATTTGCAGTTTTTTATTTAAATTATTTTCCAAAAATATTAATTCACTTGATATTCGACATGAACCTTTACATAAATATTCAATAATTACAGGCAACCATTCATAACCAATTAATAAATGAGATGTTAACACACAAATCTTATCAGCATTTTCAATAAATATACCAACATATTCATTTAAATATCGACTTTCAACAGATTTACGACCATCTAAAGAAAATGTTTCTGTTAGGGAATGATCAATCATAAATATATATTTACCTAAAAAGAATTGATTAAATTGAATAATATTTGTTATATTATTTAATATAAGAAGATGAGTATGAGGTGAATATTTATGAATGGATTTATTAATTTTGTGAATGATTTCATAATTTTCTTGTTTATTATTAATAAATGATAGAAATATATAATGTTTATTTAAATGTGATAAATCATTAAATGAATATTTTATTTGAATATTTTCATTTTTTTCTTCAATTAAAATTTTAATAAAAAATGTTAAAAAACAAATAAAGAAAAAGAAAATTAATGATCTTGAATAAATAAGAAATGATTTGATTAATAAACCTTCATATTGACTTAAATAAAATTGAAAATTTTCATAAACATTACTTTTATTAAAAATTTCCAAACAATTATTTTCAATCAAATCACGATTTTCTTCATCTTTTTCCATTTTATCTTCACTTTTATTTATAAGATGAAAATATACATCATCTTTTAAAGAAAAGACAAAAGATTGAAATTTAATTAAAGAAGAAAATGAAATGAAATCCAACCTAACGTTGTATTTGTTAAACCATAATTTAAAATAAGATTATTTTCTTTTAAAAGATCTAATTGAGAAAATAATTTAATAAATAAATTTGATTGTGTTTCATTTGTTTGAATAATTAATTGATTATTTATTTCTGATTGAATATTTGAATTTAAGAAAATTTCATTTATTATTTTAAATATATTTTTATTTAATGAATTATTTAAAGTATTAAGAATTAATTTATAACCAGTTCCATAAATGAATTTTAATTGATTATTTGTATCATTTGCAATTATTTTTCCATTTGATAAAATTATTATACGATCAGATAAAACATCAGCTTCTTCTAAAAAATGTGTTGTTAACAATATTGTACGATTTTCTTTCATTGATTGAATCCATGACCTTCACACTTTTTCAATTTTATTTTCTATTTAAACATTTTTTCTATTACCATAAATTACGACGATTTATTGGATCAAGACCACTTGATGGTTCATCTTTAAACAAATTTCAAATATTTTTATTTCAAATATTAACTTGACGAAAAAAAACGTTTAGTACATTTCCTTGTTTCAAACTATAGATAATCATACAAGTTTTCGTCTATTTTTTTAAAGATATATTCCTCAAGAAATTTTACAATGTATCGTTAACATCAATCAAACAGTTGTTAGTGTATTTACTCGCGTTTAGGGCATGAAAACTCAATGTCATTGAAACATATGACAAATTATGCGAATATAAATGCTGATTAAAAGTATATATGAAATACGAATACTGATATTGACACTCTCATCAGGTAATTAATATAAAATATTTGAATTTACCAAGTAAAACAAGTTTTGTATTTCCAATAAATGCACATGCAATTGATAAACGTCTTTTCATTCCACCAGATAAATTTTTACAAAATGTATTTCGATCATTTGTTAAATTTACTTTTTCAAGAAAATCTGAACAAATTGTTTCTTTATCTTTTGAATAACCTTTAAAAAGATTTGATTAAAATTCATTTATTTTAATATTAAACCTTTTGCTATAATATAAAAATAAATTTGTTCTTCAACAGTTAATAAATCAAATAAAATATCATCTGAAAAAATGAAGACAAGAAAAGAAAATTATTTTATTTAAAATAATGAATCAGTATACGTTGTGGACAATAAGATATAAATTGACGTAAATAATCCATATGATATTTTGTATCATAATTAAATATTTTTATTGAACCATATGTTTGTTCATATATTCCACAAAGAATATTCATTATTGTTGTTTTACCTAAACAGTTTTTATATCACTTATTTTACAGTCCACAACAAAATCTTCAAAATCAATGTAAACAAACCAGCTCCATTATGTCCAAGTAGAGTTGTTATTTGATTTTGATATAAATTAAAATGAATATTATTAAGAACAAATTGATTTGTTTCACCAAATGATTTATAAAGTGAATCAATTTCAACAATTAAATTATTTTCATTTTCATGAAATTCATCTTCTGACGATGACGAAGAAGAAGAAGACCTGAAAGTTTCATCTGAATATTTCTTTTGAAAAAGATTCATTTGATTTAAATTAAAATGTTGAATCCAATATTGTATTGAAAATGGAAAATTCCATGATGATGGAATTCCATATTGACCTAAATAAATAAATAAATAGATTTAAAAAAAGATTTTCTTTTTCTTTTCTTAATTTTAAATTTCAACCAGGATTTAGTTTTTCAAAATACCAAAGAAATATCCAAGAAATACATATCGAGAAAATAATCAAATAAAATATATTTAACAAAATTGGAGTATTAAAATAAAGTTTTTTTCTTAAATCTATTGAATTCATTGATCTTTCAAATAAAAATAGATTTCGAAGTAAATAGATTAATGAATAATATGGATTTAAACATAACATGTATTCAACAATTATTGAATTAAAATTTTTAAATAATAATAAATTCATTAAGAACCAATTGAATAGATTGAAAATAAAGATTTTATTCATTGAATTTAATAATTCTCCTAATAACATTGAATATGATATTAATTGAATATTTAATAATGTAAATGTTAACAATAATATCCACATAGAAACATATTCAAATATTATCCAATTATTCAAATTTAATTTCCACAATCCTTAAATAAATTTTATTTTAATTATTTTATAGGAAATATTAAATACGAGAGACATTTTTCATTGAAATAGATCAAAAAGATTTATCAAAGTTGACATTAAATCTCATATTTTTATATGTGAAAATCATAAAAACAAAATGAAACTCTTATTGATTTCAATATAAATTAAATAAAGTCCTACAGATAATTGTCAGGAGAAAGTGAGATTTTTCTATCAACATATTTTGAAAAATATCATTATCAAAAGAAAATAAATTCGATTGTAAGATGAATTTATTAATAAAATTTTTCAATGTAAATCTAATCGATCTATTACTGATATCAATATTAAATAGAAATCAAGATGAGATAATAGACAATTTCATTGATTTTTAATAGTTATCATCGGAAGAGCGTCATATTTAGAAATAAAAAGTCGAAGTGTATTCAACAAGAGATTTGAGATTGTTTTATTTAAATGAAAAGTTCATCAAGAATACAATATGATTTTCATACACTCTCTTCTATAGATCTGGAAGAGAATTTTATTCTCAAAATATTCATCTTCTATTGGTCTCTAATTACTTCTAGTGTTAATATTATAGAATAAAGTAGAAAAATTTACCTGAAATAGTAAAAGTAATAAATTGTAGAATAAAAAAATGTATTAATGCTGCAGATAAATAATAAATAAATGGTTGAATATGAATTAATTGAATAATTTGTTTTATTTTCATTGATTTATCTTTAATTAGAAAATAAATAATAATAAATGAATAAAAAACAAATGTTATTGATAAAATCAATTCCATTAATAGAAATGACCATCGTGTTGGAATACTTTTATCACAACGATATGATGGACAAGGTAAAACAAGAAAATCTATTAATGGAATATCAAAATCATCATCATCTAATATTAAACTTATATAAATTGAATCAACAAATAATTTTAGATTAGAATATGGAGGAAATTTATTTTGAAAGAGATCCTAAATAAAAAAGAAAAAGAAATTTTCAAACTTTTTCTTTCTTAAATAAACTTTACAAATTGTTCAGATGGATGTTGATGTCGATTTAGAAAAGAAAAATCAATTTTATTTAAAATTTTTTGTAAAAATAAATCATTTGGAATAATTTGAACAATAAGATCATATTGAAATAATTCAATAGATAATTCATTTATATTAATGATTAAATTTAACCCATTTGTTTCATTAAATAATATAGAATTATCATTTAAATTCTTCATCGATAAATCATTCCATAATTTTATATGAAATTTCTTCTTTGATAAACAATTCTTTGAATGAACTTTTTGAGAAAATTTGTGAAGAAATTTTTGAGAGAAATCTTTATTATGATCGGATTGTTTTAAATAACGTATTATTAGATTTATTTCATTATATTTATCAATAAACAAATCATTTTCATTATTTAAACAATGATCGAATGATAAAAAATGTTTTTTCTCTTCAAATTCTTTTAAAGAATATTGTGAACATTTATTATATTGATTTTTTTCAAAGAAAATTTCATTTAAATTATTCTTATTGAAATAATAATGAGAAAAATAAAGAATTATTAATATAAATATTAATGGAATAAATAATTCAAATAAGATTATTGGAATAGAATAACAACATTGAACACGTTTTAAATATCTATCTTGTCATTTCTTTACTTTTGATTTTAAAAAGAAAAAATAAATTTACTTTAGATTTTTTTTTGATAAAAGAATTAATTTGTTTAATGATGAAAGATTTTCATTTGGAATTAATTCAATTGAACAATTATTTCGCGAGAACATTTATTAACAAAATTTCTTCTTTTATTTACCGCACAAAATTCGTTTAAATCAAGAATTGTTATGAATTGAAGAGAATAACCATGGAAAAAGATTTTTATATAAGATTCAATCGATTTCATTACTTTTCGATCAACAAATATATTTTATTATTTTTAACCTATAGTATTTCATTCAACTTATCATAACAAATAAATGTAAACATGTCTTCCTACGACTAAATATAATCTTATTTCAAAGAGACAAATATTTCGATAAAATCTTCTAAGATTCATAAAATATAAAAATAAACTGGTCTTGTTAGAATTTTATCACATCACACTAAATTTTCTTTCTATTTTTATTTGCTAAGAGTAAATGTTTAATTTAAAATAAATGAATATTGAAAACATATCAGTCCTATCGATCATTTAAATTAAAAATCATTTTTCAATAATCAGATATATAAGAATTTTCATCATTTATGTTTTACAAATATTCACATGTTTTAAATAAGAAAAGAAAATGAAATGAAATAGAAGACGAGTTTTACTTGAATTTATATACATGACCGATACTTTATCCATATCCACTGTTTATTTTTATGTACAAATATCCAACATAGATTTATTTTATCCTCCTTTTATTTTTATTTTATTTTACATTTTACTTCTTTTTTCTTTTTTCTTTATTATTTTTAAATTTATATTAAACAACAAAGTAATTTTCATTATATACAATTTTATTTAATTAGTGACATCTTTTACAATTTATTCATATTCCTCTCGTAAATAATAAATAAAACCAAATAATCGATTGACAAATTTCAACTGAAAGATATTCTTTCTTTATATATCTAATTTAATTCATATGAATTCTTCTTGAAATAAAATTTATTTAAAAAAAAAGCCAATTCTATTAAATAAAATCTTGTTAAATGAGATAAAACTAATATTTATTTATTAATAAACCTAATTTATTTAAATGAAAAAAAGAAATGTGTTTTATTTTAAAATCTAATTGAATAAAATGTTTTGTTAAATAATGCCCTCTGTTGATAATAATAAAATAAAAGATGTTAATCCGTTATTTACCGGAAGAGAACGATCTATTTTGTTCTATTAAAAAAGAATTGATTAATTTCTATGTCGACTAGTGCTCGTTTATTTTTTGCTGGTTCAATTGTAGTGACAGGATTAACAGTATATGCTGTTAATTATTATTTAACTGATGAAACAAAAGTATTGCATTTTATTTAAATAAAAATTTTAAAAATTTTACAAACAAAATTCTTTATTCTTAGAGAAAACGTGCTAATATTTTTGCTGATATTTCTCGAAAAGAAGAACAACGTCGTTCAAATATCGAACAATATGAAAAACAATTACAACTTGATCAACAACTTCGATTAAGAGATAAAGAATAGAATTTTTTTTTGAGCTTTTTTTTTATTCTTATTAAACGAAAATTTGTTTTCAAAAACAAAACAAAAACATTTAAGATATTTTTATTAAATATTTCAAAAGGAAATTATTTTGGAATTAAATTAAAGTAACAGTCAAATATGTTGAATATAAAATTTTTTAATTTAAATACAAATATTAATTGTAAACATTATCATTGACTAATTCAGATTTTATTATTAATAAAGTTCATAATATTATTGAAAATAAAATAGATTTCATTGGATTTGTATGAGATGAGAAAAGTGACAATTAAACAAAAAGATATTCTTATCGTATTGAAGATCGTTGTGGAAAAACAACGAAAATATTCATTATTTTAAATAAGATTCGTAGAAATAGATATTTTCATTGAAAGAAATTTGAAAATTTTTCATCAGGGAACTTTTATTAATATAATAGAAAATTTGTTTGAAAAACTTTTCAAAATAAGATTATCCTATCTGATTATTATTATGCACTTATAGTTTACAGCGTGTTTTATTTAATATTCTCTCATGATATGTATTTGCTATTATAACAGTTTCATATGAGACCTATGTTTACATCGTTATATCATAATCTATGGGCGTGATCAGAGTAAAATATTAAGCTAACTGTTTTCTATGCATCTACTACGATTCTAGTTTATCTTTTTTTTATGTGATATAATATGACTCTCTACCAAATTATTCATATATTTCAAACGTCTGCAGTAACTTTTAATTATGATTTTAGTTGATAGGTATATTTAATATTTTCATACATCAGATACCATAATCTTAAGATGATTACTGGAGGATAACTCAAAATGGTCTGAGCTTAACGAAATCGATGTATTTTCATTACGAAATAAGTTATTATAAGAAATTGTCAGGAACAAGTACTAAGTACATCTTAGAAATACTTGTACTTGTACAATTTTACTTGAAAAAGTACGAAAAGTACAAATACTTGCATCTTAGCTCTGATTGGTCTAATATATCCTATATTATGAATGATAAATCGAATCAATAGAGACAAAAAGAAAACGAAACGAAACGAAATAATATTATATTTATTTATTCGTATTACCCCTACTATATTTATCGTCTATTCAACCTGTACTATTTTATAGAAGATACCATAAATATCTTATTTACTCTTTCTGTTTTTCATTCGAAACCTTCTTTTTTTTTAATAAAAAGAAATGAGTGGTCCATGTTGTGTTGATCCTGGTGCAAAACAAAGTCATGAAGTATGTGGTCGTATGGAAGAAATTGGAGGGGTAAATACTTATAAAACTGGTGAAGGAAAATCAGCAATTGTTATATTTACTGATGTTTTTGGTAATAGTTTTGTAAATGTCCAAAAAATAGCTGATACATTTGCTGAAAATACTCAAACAACAGTTGTTATTCCTGATTATTTTAATGGAGATCCAATTGATGCTAATGTACCAAATCTAATGGAAGTTTTACCTGCTTGGTTAAAAAAACATCCTACAAAAGATACATGTTTAATTGCTGAAAAATTTATTTCAACTATTAAACAAGATTATCAATCAATTCAAGTAAATTTAGAAAAACAAAAAAAAAGATTTTTGTTTTTTTATTTATTTTATTTTATTTAAGATAATGGGATTTTGTTATGGTGCTAAATCAGTTGTTCATTTACTAATTCATCCAGAATTTTCATCAATAATAAAAGGAGCTGTTGTTGCACATCCATCATTTTTAGTTAAAGAAGAAGCTACACAAATTAAACAATCAATTCTTTTCTTATGTGCTGAAAATGATCAAATATTTACTCCTGATCTTCGAGAAGAATTTGAAAAAGAATTAAAATCAAATCATTACGGAAAATTTATTGATTATCCTGGTACAATTCATGGATTTGTTGTTAGACCACATGATTCCCCTCAAGCTTATCAACAAAGAGATAAAGCGATTCAAGATGCTATACAATATTTTAAACAAAATATTTAACTTAAAATTTATTTTGAAAAAAAGAAAAACAAAATATTTCTCATCTTCAACACTTTTCAAATAAAACTTCCTAAACATAACGCACTTCTCAATTGATTTAAAATATACTAATTAAAAAACTAATATGATTTACTCTTCTTTTTGTTATTTATTTATTTTAAAAATACTTACAATTAGTTTTTCACAAAATTTTTCTAACAATAAAATAAATATTCATTGAATCATAGATGATAAGTTATTCTTACTTGTTTTCTTTTTCTTATATTAACTAAAGTATAATAGATTAACATGGAAAAATCAACTATTCTTTTCTCTATTTTATAATGTAAAAAGAAGTTTTTTCTAAATAATTAAAATGTAATTCTTGCCACTACTTTATTTAATTCTAAATTGTTTCATTAAAATGATTCTTGTTTATTAAATAAAGATATTAAATTCAAATGATTATAAAGATAAGCAGAGGAAAAAAAGAAAAGAAAAGAAAAGGTTTAAAAAACTTGAATAAATAAAATGAAAGAAAAGAAAAAGATTAGACAATTGATTTTCGTCTAGCATTTGCTGTTTTAACTAATTCATCAACTTCAAGCGAATCAATTTCAACAAGACAATCAACTATTTTGAGATCATCATAAATACAAGCAACATATTGGCGACCAACAGTTGGAATTTCAGGTTTTACTGGATTAATAAGACCACCTTGATTATCACCTTCTTTATTATTTAAAAAAACAGGAATACTTTCACCTGAAAGAAATAAATAGATATGAGAAAATATTGATTTAAAATGAATGAAACAAACCTCTTTGTTCATAAGTATATTGTTTCATATTTTCATAAACTCTTCCTTTTAAATTTTTAATTGTATCTCGATCAAATTTTATTGTAAAATGATCTCTTGGTGGCATTGTATTTGTTGATGGTCCTCTTTCAACTTCAGATAAAGTTGCCAAAAAAACCAATTTCGATTGTTCAATATGTTCTAATGCTGTGTCTTTACCTTTTAATATTCCCATGTTTAATATTTAATGTTTAATGTTTAATAAAAAAGAAAACGATTTGCTTCTTTTCTTCTATCTTATATGGATATGAAGATAAAATCTATAAGAGACGATTTATATATTAATAAGTCTTTCCATTCTTATCATTCTATTTCTATATAAAACATAAATAGTTTAACCCACGAATATCCGAAAAAAGAATACTGTTGACAACAAACTGATGAATGATATATATATATGTGTATAGATTAGAACAACTTTTCCCCTTTTTTTCTCCATTGCCATTGATTAACAATAGTTATCATCAAAGATGATGCGTTTGTTTAGCCAAGGATATATAGATATATTCAATTAAATAAAATACTAGTTTCTTTCTTTCTTTTATAGATTATTCTTATCTTAGAAATAATCATTATGACAAATATACTTAGATTTAGATTTATACTTGGTAAACCATTTTTTCTCATAAATGAACAATAGATGAATTCGATTTGTGTAAATACGATAATGAATATTTGTAATTAATTAAAAGTATTTGATTAAATAAAGGTTGAAATGATCTTTATTAGTTTATTAATAATTTTGAATAAAATAATGCGTATGTTCTTATTAATAATGAATTTGTAAACATAAAATTAACCTTGATTTATATATTTTTGTATTTTTCTTTGAAATAATAAGTATACTTGTTTATACAAGAAATTTTGTTTCTTAATTACTAATGAGTATGTCAAATGAAAAACAAAATATCGTGTACTTTTTCTTCTTCTTCTTCTTCTTCGTTAACCATCACTATACTACTAATTACTGATAATATCAATGATTTTTCTTGTTTTTAACTAGAAAAAAAACTTATCTATAAATAATCAATCACAACAACTCCATTTTAAGTAAATAAATATCAAATAAGAATACAAATATATACTTGTCACTTTTTACTATTAACAAATATCACTTAGTTTTTACGAGAAAGGTAAGGTTATTAATGTACTTGTCCTAATACTATATTTACTATTTTCAACATTTCATTTTTAATAATAAATTCTATATTGAAAGAAATTAATTCGAAAAAAAAGAAATCTTTTAAGAATAAATATTCTTTTGATTTCTATGTTGAAAATAAAATCTTATTCATAAATTAACGAAGAAATAATTCTACGATATACTATAAAAAAATACTTTTCTCTGACAGATTTTAATCAAACACTGAATTAAAAAGTTTATGACTATATAAACATAGTTTTCTTTATAAAAAATTCATTCTTATTCAATTATACTCTATATTAAATTAACTAAGCTAAATACTTGTGAACTATCTCAATTATTCTTTTGTTCTATTCTCTAGAATCGATCGAACTTATTCATAACGTTTTTTTTCTCAATTTCGATATAAAAACATGTTAGAATATGTAAATATACTCTTCTGAAAATGTTTTTTTTATATTTAAATCTAATTAAATACTTTATAAAATTCTTTATTATCATTCTAATCATCATCTAGATATAATATATTCTTAATTAATTCAACAATATTTTTACATTTTCTTCCAACAGACGAGATACACCAATTTCAACATATGAAAGGTTTATATTGTAGATTTCCAACATAGACGTTGTTGATTTGTTTTATATTAAATTATATCTGAAAAATCAAATACTGTTTATAATTAATATTAAAATATATTCTCTTACCAGCGCCAGATCTAGGAGTTGTAGGAAAGGGATGCGATTTCGATCAAAAATTGTACTATCGCCCACATTCGACATATTATCTAGTGATAGAAATCCGTCACTGTCTCTTAGTTGTATTTCTTTCAAAAGTTAAGCAAAATATGTATTTATCTAGTTTAATAAGATTTTGTAGATCTATTCTTCAGAAAAATAAAATCAAAAATATATAGATGACAGATATTCGACCGAAAAATGATCGAAATGAAAATAATGAACGTGTGGATACAATGGGTACAAATGTTTATTCATCGAAAGATAATCAAAGTATGCATAATTCTTTAAATAGTGAATTTATTCTTTATCAA